GGGGGGGGGGGGGGGGGGTGGACACGGTGTCTGAGCCAGGGCCTGAGTGCATAGCGTGGTAACCGACGCCCACCCTGCAGTCACAGCCTGTCCCCTGGAAGACTCATAACTCTTCTGTTGTCCTTTCCTTCAGAGGAAGTGGCTTTTAGAAAGAAGAGGCTGTGCATAAAATTTATCCCACGGGACTCAACGGAAGCTGCGATTTGTGACATTCGGATCATGGGCCGGACCAAGCAGGCCCCTCCTCAGTACACGTTCATTGGGTAAGTCTCAATGACACAGATCTCATCTGCTGCTCTCCACTCACTCCGGGGACAGGATGAAGTCCTAAGAATTTCTGTGCAGTGCCTCTCGGCTGCCTCTGGGCCCCAGCTCCCATTGCTGCCCTCCCCACCCAGTTGCAGCCATCCACCATGCCCAGCCGCCACCTTGCCTGGTTCATGCTGTGGACTCCGTCCTAGGCCTGTCCTTCCCCTGTCCTTCTGTGTCTCTACCCTTCAAGCTCCTCTGGGTCCTTCTCAGATGCCTCTGTGAACTTCCCAGGTCTCTACTCTCCACTCTGTTCATTCACCCCACGAAGTCCTGTGGAGCACCTGTTTTCAGCCCCTGGGCTAGGCGCTGGGCCTGGTAGTGAGTGAGGCAGAGGCCCTGCTCTTGAGGGGCTGGTGTTCTGTAAAGAGATACAGCAATAAATAGGAGGATAAAAGAGATAATTTCAGACTGAAGAAAATGAAACATTGATGGAGTGGGGGCTGCTTCAGTCAGGGGGTCGGGAAGGTGACATCTGAGCAGAGACCTAAATGTTGAGAAGAGACCAGCCATGAAGATGAGGAGGCAGAGCCTTCTAGGAAGAGCAGAAGAGTGAGTGTAAGAGGAATGAAAGTGGGAGTGAGTGTGGCATGTTCTGGGAGCAGGAAGTAGCCCCGCGTGGCTGGGACAGGCAAGCAAAGGAAGGCATGCTGGGGATGGGGGGGGACATCGGTGGAACCTGCTGAGACGTGGTGGCAGTCTGGATTCTATTCCAACCGTGCTGGAAAGGCAGTGGAGGCTTCTGAGTTGGGAAGACATGCAAATATTACATGACTGCATGATAATTATTTGTGCAGTCTTTTGGTCTGGTATTTATCTTCCTTGATAAGCAGACTTCTGAGGTCTGGGCCTGTTTGTGTCCTGCTCACCTGGTAGCCTCAATCCTGAGCACGGTCCTGGCTCTGTAGCTGCTTCATAGATCCTTAATACCGTGGAATCTCAGGATTTCTTCTTGAGCTTGTTTGATTGTAAGTAGCAGGAAACTCAACCCATACTGGCTTTTTTTTGACCAGTAAGGGGATCGCAACCCTCGGCACAGTGTGGTCAGCACCACGCTCAGCCAGTGAGCGCACCGGCCATCCCTATATAGGATCTGAACCCGCGGCCTTGGCGCTACCAGCGCAGCACTGTTCCAAGTGAGCCACGGGGCCGGCCCAACCCATACTGGCTTAAGCAAAAAGAAGAATTTGTTGGCTGACATAATAAAAGAGTTCAGAGGGCAGGAGTAGCTTCAGGTATGGCTGGAAGTAGGAGCTCAAAGGACGTCACTAGGGTCTGGTTTCCCCGTGTCCCTCCTTGCTCCAACACCTCTGGGTGGACTTCATCCTGACACATGTTCTCCCCTTGTGGAAGCATGGTGGTGCAGTAGCTTCACCTGCTTTTCATCTGGGTTCAAGTCCAGAGGCAAAGAGCAAGACTACGTTCCCAATAGTTCAAACAGAAGTTCTAGAATTCAATCTCATTGGTCCTGATTGATCTAACGAGGGTCATGTGCACTCTGAACTGGCCACTGTTTTCTGGAATAGGTCATTCTCTGATTGACCAGGCCTGACCTGGAAGTAGGGTCAGCTCCACTGGAACTCAAGGGCTAACAGTGACAGGATGGCTGCCCCCAGAGTTTGGTGGGGAGGTGAAAAGTCAGAAAGCAGAGGTTGAGTGGATGCTGGATGTCCAGAAGAAAACAGGTGTTAATCAACTGAAATTTGGGTCTCTCACATTAATCAGCACGGTGGGTGGTTTTTGGCCCCCCTCGGCCATACGCCTCTCTCTGTGCCAGGCTTTGCAGGCATCATGCTCCTCACTGTGGGTTCCCGGAGATGCATTCCTCTGCTTGGCTTTGAGGTTGGCCTCCTGGATCTGGTTTGTACTCTGTTCTACTCTTGTTCATTTGAGCCCAGTTCCTCCTCTTTACTCTGCAATCCCAGGCCTTTCCTAGATGTGGTGGCGTGGGTGGTAGAGGAGCCCTGTGGCATTTGCTTGAAGCATGTAGGGAGCAGGTATCACAGAAATAGGGATTAATTTCATCTCGGTGCACTAGTTTCTTTAGACTCCTCAGTTATGGGATCTGAATGCTCTGTGTCAAGATTCGTGGTTATTAAGAAGTGCTCTGTGATCATTCCCTTCCTACACACTCAAAAATCCTGTTTGGCAACCTTGTTTAAACTAATTATGTAAACAGGATTACAGGGGTAGGAAATAGGTAAGAGAACAACCATACTTCAGGTGCCTTACTGGCAGCCATTTACATACAAATAGTGGAAATCAACAATTTGGTAATGAACTTTTAAATTCTAATTTTGGCTACTGTGGTATTTTAATTACAAACTATACTATTATAAAAAGATACAATTTTTAACCAATTTAAACAATACCAAAGAATGGATTTTTACCAATATGTGTCTTGATAATCAAAACTAGAATCTTTTTTCTTTCACATCATTTTGAAAAGATTGCTAAAGTAGTTTTGTTTCATCTTGGGGCAAAGCTTCTTTTCCAGAGGAAGACAATTTTAGTGTTCTTTTTAAGTAAGGAAGAGAATTCAATATTTAGAACTCTAAGTCACTCACTCTTAAAAACAGGCACAATTCCACATGTTACTTTGCAAGGGTCTGGGGTTGTTGGCTGGGGGAGACAGAAACCTCACGTTCAAATCGGCTTTTCCAAAGCCTGGCAGCTTGAGGCCGTGACCGAGATGTGGTGAAATCAGTGCTGCGAATTGGAATCACTCACCTAATAAGACAAAATTGTGGCTTAGAATAGTTGCTGTGGTGTACTGAGCAGCTCACCAGAGGTGTCCACGGAGGAAGTCTTTTCTCATTTTGTTAAGAGATGATTGTCCTCTACATGAGGTCCCAAAGATGCAGTTCTGTGTGGAAGTTGAGAAACTGAAAACTGGATATGGCTAAACTAATCCTGTTACAATTCCTAAGAGCGTTGCCTGTCTCAAACACTCCTGACTGTGTGGGGTGGGGCTGGTCTGTGGTGGGTGTGAGTATAAAATGACAGAAAGTATGACGTGGTGTTTGTGACGTACATGGACCCTGTGACACGGCCCCTCTGTGTCCACTCTTAGTTGTGGTGGTCCGTGGGACATGTGCCTCTGGTTTTGTGGTCTGAAGATGTCTCCCAAAGTGACCCTGAGAAAGGGGACAACTGCAGGTGACACCGGCTGTCCGGGGCTGTCTCCTCATGTTGGGCATGCAGCAGAGTGGAGGGCTGATTGTTCTTGTCGTTAAAAACCAGACGTATGTGTCTGTCAGTCCTTTTCTCCCTCTGTCTAACCCTGACTGCACAAAGGACTCTATGTGGGTTATCACATTACCTACATGAAATGGCAGAATGCAAAGAGTTTTCTTGAAGACTTAGGAGCATGGCAGGTGTCAGGAGGAGTAGGAAGATGAGCCAGGGTGGGAGAAGACGGCTGCTCAGACAGGACAGTCCCCCTCGGATCAGACTCTGAACTCGGATGCCCAGAGCACAAAGGGAGGTGACGTAACTCACCTTCAGGGGAATGAGTTGATTCCACAGTGTTTGAGGCTGTGACTCTTTTAAATGAGCGGTTTGCTTTGCCGCTCAGGTACATCATGCTTTGTGCTAACCCGCCCCATGAAGATTTCTCTTTTCTCCTAAAGGGAACTGAACAGCATGGGGATCTGGTACCGAATGGGCAGAGTCCCAAGAAATCATGACTCGTCTCAGCCCACAACGCCTTCCCAGTCATCAGCTGCTTCCACCCCAGCCCCCAACCTTCCCAGGTGAGGCCTCGTCAGTGATGTCTTACGCTGTCATGTGGTCTTGGGTCCCACAGCACAACATTTTAGAACACCTCCACTTAGTGACTGCTGAAGTAGTGCAAAATACAGCTGAAAAATTGTAGGAGTAATGTACTTTTAGAGGAGACTTTTCAAAACCTATTTAGAAAGCTTTGCATTACATGAATATAAAGGCCGTTCTGTATTCTATTTTGTGCATATTCTTCAGGGTCCTAAAATAGCAGAATATGCAACTTAAAATTGGCTTGCTATTCAAAAGATCACATAGAGATGCACAGACACGTGCTTTGTAGCCACGTGGTTGGGATCACTTGCCTTAAGAAGGTGGAATTCCTTCTCTGTTTTGGCCAGCAACTCCTTTGAAACCCAGGAGGGCTGGTAAGTAATTACATTTATTTTCATATTGTTTCTTTTCCCAGTGAGCTTCAGATTAAGAAATGGGTATGAGATGAGAAGTTTTTTAGGAGATTTTGGTTTTAATAATTGTTTCCACAAAGAAACTCGGGAAAGCAAACTAGCCGTTCAGCAAACTGACTTCAGTCGTAATGGAGGTAGTAATGGTCTTTACACTTTTGGCAAAATGCAAATGATAAAAAGAATCCTGTCAAATAAAAAAACCTATGCGTCACTAGATGTAAATTGTTTGAGGGCAAGGAACGAACAGCAGTGATGAAGTTTGGGACTGGGATAACAAAAGGGAATAAAACAAGAATGGGAGGCAGAGTCTTTTGGGGATCAGTGCGACCTCACTGAGAATGGATCTAAAAGCTTCCACGTGGGTAGAGATGAATCAGGAACAGCACAGGAAAGTCACTAGCAGGGTCCTTGGACTCCACATACCACACCCTGCCCTTGGGAGGGGTCACTGGCTCTCTGCGCTCTGTTCCTCACCAAGTGCCTGCTTCACTTGGGAGAACACAGCTGTACTGAGCCTGCTCTCCAAGGACTCTGTCCTTTGGGACATCCCTCTAGAAAGACAATCTGGTCTTTCTCATGACATTTTCACAAACCAAGACTGTTATTTAAACTTCACCCCTGGAATTGTCTGAAACTTCAGAAGTTTTCAGTTTCACTTTGGCGTAAAAAGCTATGAATAGCTAATGAGCTTCTCAGAGGTGCAGGTTGAGTAGTTGAGTCTCTTTGTTTAGGTTCAGGAGGGTGCGGCCAGCAACGTTACAGCTGGCACTTGTTCCTTTCTCATTGGCCAAGAACACCATCACAGCTCTGTCCTGGAGGGTGCTGCTGAGGACTCCCACCACTTGTGTTGGAGTCATCGCAGGCCCATCACCTGTGCTCAGGGTCAGCTGAGGCCCATCACCTGTGCTTCGGGGGTGGGGGTGGGGCTGTCAGCTGAGCCCATCACCTGTGCTTGGGGTCCATCACTCGTGCTGAGCCCATCACCTGTGCTTGGGGTCAGCTCAAGTTTGGGCTCATTGCAAAGGCTGGAAAGCCCCCAAGGGATCAGTTGTCCTGAAGTAGTTATAGCTGCTCCCTGTTGACATCATATGGTCTGGAAGGGCCCAGAAATGGGCACCACCTCAGGGAAGGTTTTAACTTACTGTTGGGTAAAGAATGAATACTAATTCTTCCAGATAAAGCAGAGAGAGTGATCTCCCTAGAAGCTTGCCAGTCAGTGTGAGTTCAGGGTTACTTGCAACTGAAGCAAGACACCTGTGAACACCAGGCCGCTGGGAGCCAGGTGGAGGGTAGCGCATCAGAACCAAGTGTTTATAAGGCTTGTGTATTTTATAACCTCTGTTGTACAGTTTATGGTTTACAATGGCTGCAAGGAAATTGGATCAGTTTTGTTTTACTTGCCAAATAAAACAAATGTCAAAATAGTCAATATAAAATGTATTCTAATTTGGCTGAGTTAAATCCGCCAGTATGCAGTAGGATAATTGAGTGTACATTAATGCTTCCAAGGAAAAACCACGTGTCTGTCCCAACCTCCCCCCTCTCACTGAGCAGGAACTCACAGGTAGCATAAGCACCTATGTGAGCCTACTAATCCATCAGGGATTTTAATTTTTTTTTTGTTTTGGGTGGATTTGGGGGGGGTATTATTTTCCTATATAGTATATTTGATTAAAAAAATGAAATTCTGATTATTTATTTGAATTTTCCATTGAAGACTTATCAAATGATCCTTGAGGCTTCCATGTCTGTAAACTTTCTGGAAGAGCAACGTGACAGCCTTCTGTCTGGGGGTGAGCAGGGCTGATGCTTGTGTTCCAGGTGCTAGGTGTCACCCGTGGGCCTGTACGGTAAATACTAAGCTGCCAGAGAACGTTGAAGCTGCCGTGTCCAGCTCCCGTGATTTCTTGTCTTCTGTAAAGCTATGTGACTGACTATGCCAGTTGTCAGGTTGAGGCAATAGCTATGCTAATTGTATAGCTAGGCATTTCATCACTAAAGGCAAAACATTTCATTATTTTAGTTATACTAAGTTTTCATTTGTATTGTCAGGGCTAGGGCTCAGACCCTTCAAACCAATTGTGCAGACTGGGTCATAGGCCCCTCACATGCCAGGCTGGATCACCAGACCCCTCAAATGCAGGTCCACACTAGGTAATTGGGAAAAATCCTGGAAGCCATTGGCAGATGACATGAGCTCAGTCCTCAGCAGCAGCAGTAGTAGTGGTAGCCTCTCCAGGCATCCCGGGAGCACTGGCAGCAACAGCCTCCAGCAGTAGTAGCAGCCTCCCCGTGCCCCTCCACCCGGCCATCCTGGTGGCGGGGCGCACCATGGATCAGAGCCACTCATCTTTTATACTTAAGTCCATAACCCAGGACAACTGAGTGCACATGCACAATTACATTAGACAATAACCAAGGAACACCTGGGTGCACGTGCATATTTACATCAAATGCTCAGCACGATTCCGAACATCTGAGGGGCCCTGACCATTTTCCTATATTTTCCCACCATCTTCTCTCTCCCAGTCCCAGGTTTGGAGCTGAACTGGTAGCCTCCTCTTCCCTTCCTGTTTCATGCTTCTGCTCCTCTGCTCACTGGGCTACTTGTGCACCAGGGGTGTCTTGCATCCTTAGCTCTCTTCCTCTCCCAGGAAGCCTTCCTTGAGCCCCTTGGGTCTGGGCCTGTGCTGGGCTCTCCTCTCTGAGTGCTTCTCAGTCGTTTTGATTTTTGATTTCATCCTGTGCTGTAGTCAAGTTGTGAGCTCCTGGAGGGCAGGGGCCAGGTCTTGTCCCTTATCTCCCCTAGTGCCCACGTAGGTCCTGGTGGGCATTCAGTTACCCAATAAATGCTGCTCTAGCAGCTGAAGACCCGTGCTGTAGCCCCTCTAGATGACTCCCAAGTCTCTGGGCACCAGGCAGATCTTTTCTGATTGTGAGAGTTGGCAAAATATAGAAAATAATGAAAAAAACAGAAATTCCATTTCCAGTGAGCAAATGCTCATAACCTTTTGTCATGTTTTCTTCAAGTCTTTTTTCTGTGTACTTTTTACATAGGTGATATCATATCATATAATGGCAAGTTTGTATTTTCCTACCGTTTTCTTGTGCAGTATTAAACCACAAACAGAAGAAACACTTTTCAGTGCGGTCTTTGTGTGGACATGGAAATCAATTTGCTAAGTCAAGGCTGCGGGGAGAGTGGTGTGGCAGCGCCCTCTACTGGCCAGCCGTGGAGGTTCCTGAGCCTGGGGTGGCTGGTTTTCCCAGCAGATCCCTGGGACTGGAAGGAACGAGGGAGGGGCCCATAGCAGACATTGCTGCCTTCTTGAGAGTGTAGATGTTCATCTGAAAAGCTCCAGATGTGTGCTCTGCCTCCATTTCTTATGTTGTCATTTCGACTTCAAAGAATTCCCAGCCATTTTTTGGAGAGCTGCCATCCCCAGCTTTATTTCAGATAAAAGGGGCATTTGGTGGACCTTTTCACAGGTAATGGGCCCCACCTGAGGACCTCATGGTCCTAGCAGTACTGCCCTCTTTTTCCAGAGGCAGGTACTGCCCTGCCCAGAGCTTCCTGCCTTTTTCCTCCCTGGTACTGTAGAAAATGCTTGTGATGAAACCAGATTTGGAGTTGTCCTTTCAGAGTGGCGAGCTCTCCTAGAGAGACAAGGGATGCTCCTTGGCTGTATCCAGTGAATTGGACACAGTGTTTGGTGAAGATTGTGGCAAAAAGTGGCATAAGATGACTTGGCACAGCTTCTGTTCCTTGGCCATTGAATCTTTATCTTACGAACAAACATCTCTGCACACGTTTCTTGGCAGTTTCCAAGTGAAGGAGTGCAAGTCGCTTCTTCCAGGACTTGGAGCCTCTGTTTTCCCTTTGGTCGGTGGGCTGCTCCATCCTCTGCCCACCCAGTGCATGCACATTGATCAGCAGAGTGGGCTCGTCCGTGGCTGAGGCCTGATCCCATCTCCCTGTCTCTCTTTCGGGCTGGCCCCAGCTTGCGAGCCAGCCTCCTGCACACGAGCAGATGATGGGCTTTCTGATTCTGCTCTGTGCTGCTGCTGTGGGGCAGAGGGGCAGGTGGAGGAAGAACCTTCCTCAATTCTACCGGAGCAGCCCTTCCACCTCTCTCTCACACACAGGGTCCCACAGATGATTTTGCTGGGAAGAAAAGGTTCTGCTGCTGCTGCCTGGACAATGAGTTTTGGGAAGAGCTTTGAGGGGCAGGTGGGTTCACAGCTGATGGAGCACCAGAAGCCCTGAGTATGGATGAATGAATGGCTCTGCGTTGACCTGGGAGGAGGCACTAGTGGGCTGTTGCCCCTAGCTTGCCAAGCAGTAGAGACAGAGGCTTGATAAAGACATCAGAGGCATGCTTATAAAATTTGCAGATGACACAGAGTCATTAGAGAGAGCTGATGTACTGAATGACAGAATCGATACTGCACATCTCCACAGCTTGAACACCCTGCTGGAACCAGGAGATGAAAGGTAGTGGAGGCAAACAGAGAGCCCCCCTTCCCCTCAAGGCTCAAACAATCAATAGCACTGGAACCCAGTC